TTTTCTGTTTACTGACTGTGAAAATCCGATATTGTATTATTTTTGAAATTTATAATCTAATAATATTAACTTATCAATCTATTTATGATCTATTAAATATATTCGATGGTCAGTTGTTTTACTTTACTTATTAGCTATTAGTTATTGCGACTATATTAGCCCGTATTCTCTGTACGACGTTTTGATTAGAGTGATATTGTTTATTGAAAGAGTGTTAAATTAAATAAAGAATTGAACAAAGTTTGAATCATATAGATTTGGTATATTTAATGGGCAACGAAGTGCACGGGTTCAGCTAGTTCTGTATAAAAACATAGTTTTTTATAATTAACTCATAGTTCAAATCATTGAAAACTGAATTGTCAAGATTTAAAATAAAATATAGGTATCATAATATATTTATATGTATTTTATGAAATATGGGGTAAGGTCGAATTGCACTTAGTTTAGTCGAATTGCACTTGGGTTAAAAAAAGGTAATGGTCGAACTGCACTCGAGTTCAAAAAGCTTCAACAAGAATGTTATGCATGAAGGGGTTAAATATTTTGAAAATACTCATTTCCCTTCTCACTCACGGGCTTAGGACTAACAATGGTTTTAATCATTGTTGAGATTAAAAATGAGTTTTTGTATTTATACAATAATAATATAGGTACTATATCGTCATGTTAATATATACAATATATTAATTATTATCAATTATGTAATAAATGTCACTTAATATATTTTTAAACTTGCGTCAAATTAATACTATCTATTATTTTAAATAATTTTTTTTAGTAATTATAAGAACTTTAAATTTTAATTCGAAAACTCTAATCTGGTAATTGATTTTTGGTGATATATTTAAGTTGATAAATTTTTCGATTTCGTTAATTTTTTTCTGGTATCTTGAAGTTGAAGGTCTTATGTCAGTATTTTGCATAACAATGTAAATATTAGAGTATCTATTTGTAATTGTGTGAAACATCAATAAACACATATATAGGTATTTGGTTGTGCTGTCGAAATTGATTTGCTAAACTTTACATGGAAAGACTTGCATGCATATTTTTTAGTCCTTTGACTAGAAATTGTATCTAAAGTCCAATTAATATGAGGCGGAAAAGTGCCTCGTTAGCATAGGCGCAACTAGACCAATTTTTTTTTAGGGGTGCACAAATTATAAAGGTTTCTTGTATAATTTCCCCTTAACACTGTATAATATTATCTAACAATAATTTCAAACGGATATTTATGTATTGCATTTTTAATATTTGTATGAAACAGTAACAGTAAATTTGTAAGTACATTATTTTTGGCCAGTATAAATTGTATTTATTACTGCAAGTTCAAACTTCTTTACGACGTGGTCTACCTCTTCTCTCTCAATTATACCCTAATCAATAATGCCATAACAATTATGTGTATTCATTTAAGTAGGTACTTTTAACTCTAGCTGATTTTAACTTGAATTAAAATAGCTTTAAACGGGAAGATTTCGATCGGTAATTTCTTGTCAAGTAGTTTTTTTTATAATACTCAGTATATGTACCTGCTGTGAACGTAAATAGGGGCCTTAGTGGCTTAGTGGAAAGCTATACCTAACCACTTGTTATTAAATTTTAGTATCGTGTGTTGGCCACAAACACAATACGAACAATCGTACACAAATAAGTTATTCATATTTAATATTATTATAAATAATAGTGCTGGCTCAATAGTATGCTGCCTAGTTATTAAATTTCTTATTACCGTTTTAATATTGTTCAAAATACTTTTGTATAATACTATAATATTATAACACATCAGTTTTAACTTTCGTTAATAATATTTATATTTTTCCGATTACTGTTCTACTTTGTATTTACTCAAAGTTGTCCTTTATTCTTTTTAACATTTTTAAGTTTATTTTCGTTCGTAAAGTAGGCATAATAGTTCTTTTTATTTTCAACACAAATTACACTTTTTAGATTCATAGACGCACTCACATCTACAATGAATGAAATATTATGAACTAAGGATTATATCTCTCAGACCAAAGATCTGAAGACAGAAATATTTGTATGCACCTACAATGTTTCAACACCGTCAAGCTTTATAGAAAAGTTATTGAGCCCTGCGAGTGACGATAATTAAGGAATTATTTTGATATAATTCTATTGGTAGGCAGTGGCGCCGAACCCTATATTCAGGTAGGGCGGATGCCCTACCTCATAATATTTAGGTGGTGGGTGGGTGGTTTGGTGGTTCAGTGATTGTGTCAACGAGTTACTTATAGGTGGACTTATTTTTGTAGCCTACGCCTTTACAGCCTTACAGGCAATCTACAGCCTAAATACAGCCTAATTAAAACCATGATAATTAGTTAGTAAATATAGTATGTTAGGTACCACGGTCGTTGTCTATTCAATGATCAGATAAAAAAAAAGCATATCAGTGGAAGCATTGCATATACACATAATAGCATAGCATATAATACCTATTACCTAATAGTTAGAACTTAATTTGTGGTAGTGCTAATAATTATCTTGTTAACCTGCAAACCATAGTAAGCATAAAATATTTATAAGTTATATTTTAAAACATAACTAGTGTCTAGTAAGTCAATTTGGAATTATGTATAATATGTTGGTATAATTTCAATCCAAAATAAAAGTATGTATAACGATTACTGATAAGGTTTACCTAATATAAAGGTGGGTAAGTGGATGTCGCTCTGCTGTACTGTAGGTTACAAGTGGGTCACTGTATAATGGATGCTATTAAATTTGAATTCAATGATACAATATCATTGTATAAGAAAAACGATTCTGAGCGAAGACGGTATGTCAGTCTAGGTTTAAGACAAATTATATACATATCTATGGTATTAAAAAAAAATTGACCTATAATAAATTCCAAATTAATCATATCACATTATCACAATATCCATTAGGTACTTATAACACGTTAAACATCAACATCAATAACAAATCCTGATACTATCATTGATATATAATAGTAAACTTTAGAAGTTTCAAGTAGGTACCCATGAATAATATTATATAATCACAACAAAATAACTAGGTTTTTTAATGTGTAATTTCGTCCAAATTTGAACATAAAATGACTATAAAAATAAACTGTGATTGTATATTTTTTAGATTTTTTGGTAAAAGAATTAACTACTTACGTGGAATCTTGTTTTAAATCTTTAATCCTTAGCTATAAAAACTGATTATTTTATAATTTATTAATTACGATGATTAATAATTTTCGAGATTTTGAAAAATTCTGTTAAAATTCGATGTTTAAATGCTTATAAAAAAAAACTGTGCCTATGTATTTTTAATATTTTTCAACTGATATTGTAACAATATATCAGGAGCTTTGTATTAAATTTTTACACTTTTTGGCCCAGCAGATAAAACTTTATTGATATTCATAGAAAAAAAACTAAAAAAATTTAAAAATGAAAATATCCGTAAACAGCTCAAAAAGAGTCAAAATATTTTCAAAATTGTATGGTGTATAGGAAATGCTTATACAAACATTCAGTGAAATTTTCATGTATCTATAGTTATTCGTTTATGAATAACAACAAAATAAGGAAATCGCTACATGAGAAATCGAGTGAACATCCAATGTTGTAAAAATTTGAATTTCAAACGCTCATAAAAATTTAATTTGACTGTCCGGTAGAGATTTTTTTATTGATAAAGGTAGACAAACTTATGAGTAATCTTGTATTACATTTTCAAATCTTAGATTTAAAAAGAAAAATTTTTACGAATTCTTAACTCAAAATAATTTGCTAATTTTCGTGATTTTTCCATATTTTGTCAATTTTTGAACTTTAAATGCTTATAAAAAAAAACTGTGACTAACGATTTTTAATATTTTTCATCTGCCTTTGAAACAATATACTAGGGCCTTCTATTAAATTTTCAAGTTTTTTTAACCAACAAATAAAATTTTATTGATATTTCTAGAAAAAAAACTAAAAAAAATGAAAAATGAAAATGTCCCTAAACAGTTCAAAATAAATCAAAATATTTTGAAAATGTTATCGTGTATAGAAAATGCAAATATAAACAACCAGTGAAAATTTCATGTATCTACGGTCATTTGTTTTAAAGTTACACCAAAAACCAAATTCAATTTTCTGAAAAATCGATTTTGGGTAAAAATTCCCATTTTTCCTTAATTTTTCTTTTGTTTTTCTTGGCGCTTTTGAAAAGTACTGTGAATTTTAAACCTCCTAAATTGACCTCCTCAATACACCAACGATATTCACTTTCCAATCGAACAAGATACTGAAGTAGAAAATCGAAGCATTATTTCGACTACTTATCGTGTACACAGACACAAAAATAAAAAAAATAAAAAAATAAAAAAATAGAAAAACACACATCATTGTAAAATTAATACATTCATCGTTTCACTCAGAATCTAAAAATGTGTTATAGATTGAAACTATACTGGTGAATCAAATATTTTTTGTAAACGTCAAATATTATTGGTCAGGGGGTGGTGGTGTCTCATAATTTTGAAAGTTAGCCCTACCTCATTTTTTTGGTTTCGGCGCCACTGTTGGTAGGTGCATAATGTAGTGATAAGTGACAACACTGTCCACCTACTCGTGCCGCCGAAGCGACGTCTAGTATGTCCTTAGTCTTTTGGTGTGTGTTGCCGTGTGTGTGTCTGCCGGAGTGTGTCCGGACTGCACACGCTCACGGGCACTCATTTGTCTTTTTTAAAGTTGTTATTAAAGTTATTGTTATTATTTTTCAAAGTATAATTATTAAAGTGTCGAGTAATTATTCATATTAATTGAGTCTCGTGTTTTGTACTTTTGTGTCACCTAACTAACTACTTCAATTCCTGACATCAACGAGCTCCTACAGTTCAGAAGTGCGATTCTATCCAGCAGCCCTCAAGAAATATTGTGTATTGACATAATTGTGGAATTAGTCGTTGTGTAGTTCTGGGTTGTAACGCATATTTTGTTTTGCGTAACTTAATTAGTTCAGTCAAGATGGCCGACGGTCAAACGGGTCAGGATGATGTCGGTAACCACGAGGGTTGGTCATCTAGCCGTTTAAGAAGCGGAACGCAGGCTACAGTGCAGCCACCAGTACAGTCTACGGAGCAGCTAAATACGCAGCCAACGACAAGCATGTTACCACAAAGTTCTAACCAACCGTCCGGGAGTGTAACCACCGCCAGTGATAGTGGAATGCAAAATGCATTGTCAGCGCTGATAGAGCAGAACCGATTGTTGTTATCGCGGATATTGCGTAATGAAGACAATAACAACATAAACAACGATAACATACAAGCGCGGTCAACCTCCAACAACGGCTATTACGTCATGCCAGATTTTAATAATTCGATTAATATTTTTTCTGGTCGTGAATCCAATACAGATGCGAGAGCATGGTTGAAATCAGTCGAAGGTGTAGCAAAATTGCATAATTGGCCAGACAGTTTTAAATTAGAAATAGTACGTACAAAATTGGATGGTCCGTCCCAAAATTGGTACATTGGTCGTACATTTTCAAGTTGGGGAAGTTTTGTCGACCAGTTTAATAATACATTTGTGGGAAACGAGTCGTGCACAGTTGATCGTATAAGAATTATGTCAAACCGCGTTCAAGCCAAGGGCGAGTGCGTCATAGAATATTTTCACCACAAAGCGCGCCTCTGCCGTGAAATTTCGTTACCATTTAACGAGACTAAACAACAGATAGTTGAAGGTGTTTATTCTCACGATTTATGTAACTATTTGATAGCGCGCACACATTTAAGTGAAGACGAATTATTGGTTGATATAAATTCTTACAATAATCTGAGAAATGCCAGGACCAGTCGAATTCGATCGACCGAGCCTGTGAAGACAACTCAAAGTCATACCGGCAATCGAAAAGCCAGTTCTGACAATCGCGATAAAGATCGAAATACGGTACAACGTTCCACTATTGATTCAAGAAGTAAGCCAACAAGGGATATGTCGAATGTCACGTGTTATAGCTGTGGAAAAATCGGACATCTGGCGTCTTCGTGTCCAACGAGAACCTGTCATAGCTGTAAATCAACGGGTCATTCAGCGCGGTACTGTCCAAGTCGCCAAGGTGAGCGTCAAGACAACAACGGTGGTGAGCATGTTTCTGTTTTAGAACGGTCCCCCACACCTATTGTACCCCCATATATGTTAGATGTTAGCATTAAGTTCCCCAATGGTGAATCTATCGATGCACAAGCTTTAGTAGATACGGGTAGCCCGGTTAGTCTCATTAAATCGACAGTTGTCCCATTCGTGTCTGGGTTCATGCCTCCAAAATCGGATTTAGTAGGTATTAATGGTTCTAAATTAAACATTGTAGATCAATTTGATGCGGATATTTTCCATGCCGACCTTGATGCCCCGATTAATATATGTTTTCACGTGGTGTCTAGCAATGCCATGAGGAATGATTGCCTATTGGGTCGTAATTTTTTATCTCACCCTAGAGTAAATTTGAATGTGTCGGATGGTCGTTTTGAAGTAAGCTTTAAAAAAATTGATAATATACCATTTGCTGAAATTTTATCTGTTAATTACACTGATCATAATAGCGATGATGCTGACATTAGTTTGAATATTGAGGATACTCTGTCGGATGATATTAAAACAAAAATTAAAAAAATATATGACGAGTCCTATGTTAATCACGAAAGTGTCATTAGTACGACTGACAATTATCGTCCAGAAATACGCATTATACTAAAAAATGACAAACAGTTTTATTTTCGCCCCCGGCGCTTGTCTTTTTTTGAAAAAGACTGTCTACAAAAAATGTTAGATAATATGTTGAATAAAGGTATTATTCGGCGAAGTAGTTCCGAATACAGTAGCCCCATAGTCCTGGTAAAGAAAAAAAACGGAGAGTTAAGAATGTTTGTTGAGCTACCTGAGCTAAACTACAGATGTCTAAACCAAGTAACATGATTTTATGTATTTTATAAAATGTATTTATTTAGTATTGTCGTCCCCTCACCATTTCAAACCTCAGCACCAAACACATCCCCACTATCGCTGGCTGTACACAAAACAAACACTTTATTCCAGGACCGTGAAAAAATGTTATGAATGAATATCACGAAATTTAAAACAGATTAAATAAAGAGGTTCAATTTTAATACTGAGTTCTCCTAATGGGACTTTGGTAATCTCTAAATAATAATAACAAAAATAAATAAAATATAATATCTATAATATACTAGCTGATCCCGTGCACTTCGTTGCCCGTTAAATGTATCAACTCTATACGACTCAAACTTTGTTCAGTTGTTTATTTAATATTCGGTGTATGGTGTTCAAAATTTACCTTAACTTTTCTGTTGCTCGGAATAAAAATTCTGACTCACAGCAGTACATTATTATCAGGTAGGCAATCTACCTAGGTACATCGCTGATACCTTGCTGTTTGTGTGATTACTATGATTTAACTCTAAAGTATCAAAGTTATACCAAGTTTGTCGTTTTTACTTAATTCCACCGACGGTAGATTAATATAGTCAATTTATACAGAATCCTAACCTAACCTAACCTAACAGTGCTAAAATCCGATAAATAAAAAAAACAAATTCGACCCTTTGTAAATTAACCTATCTTCTTCCCATAGGTATAATTTACCCACAAACATTAATTTATATATATTTATATATCTAACTAGGTACATAAATACATAGACTATAACTATACAGATTAAACTTTGGAACTAATTATCAGATCTTCTTGTACATATTATATATATGTATATGTATATTAACAAAAGATAATAGTATAAATCAACAAACATGATTAACCAATACCAATCAATATATTATACACCGGTGGATTTTTCTAAAATGTTCTTTCATATAAATGTTCTCTGTGGAGTACTCTTTTGTTTAAAAGAAAAAAATCAAGAAGTTCTGATAAGTAGTTCCAAAGTTTAGCACGTACAGAGATTTTCATTTCACATTTTTATAGTTTGATATTATATTATAATTTATATTTAAAAGGTGAAGCAAATAGTTTTAGATTCTGAGCGGAGCGATGAATGTATTGGTTTTACAATGATGTATGTTTTTATATTTTTATATTTTTATATTTTTATATTTTTATATTTTTTTTTGTGTCTGTCATCACGTTTTGGGACAGTAAAAATGCTTCGATTTTCTTCAATAGTACCTTTTCTGATATGAAAGTGAATCTAGTTGGTACTTTGGGGGGTCAAAAGTAAACATTTTCCAGTAGTTTTCACAAGCGCAGGGAAAAACAACATAAAAATTAAGGAAAAACGGGAATTTTTACGCAAAATCGATTTTCCAAAAAATCGAATTTGGTTTTTGGTGTAACTTTAAAACAAATGACCGTAGATACATGAAATTTTCACTGGTTGTTTATAATTGCATTTTCTATACACGATAACATTTTCAAAATATTTTGATTTATTTTGAACTGTTTAGGGACATTTTCATTTTCCATTTTTTTTTAGTTTTTTTTCTAAAAATATCAATAAAATTTTATTTGTTGGTTGCAAAAGCTTGAAAATTTAATAGAAGGCTCCTAATATGTTGTTTCAAAGGCAAATGAAAAATATTAAAAATCCTTAGTCACAATTTTTTTTATAAGCATTTTAAGTTCAAAAATTGACAAAATATGGAAAAATCACGAAAATTAGCAAGTTATTTTGAGTTAAGAATTCGTAAAAATTTTTCTTTTTAAATCTAAGATTTGAAAATGTAATATAAGATTACTCATAAGTTTGTCTACCTTTATCAATAAAAAAATCTCTACCGGAATGTCAAATTAAATTTTTATGAGCGTTTGAAATTCAAATTTTTACAACATTGGATGTTCACTCGATTTCTCATGTAGCGATTTCCTTATTTTGTTGTAATTCAAAAACGAATAACTGTAGATACATGAAAATTTCACTGAATGTTTATATTAGCATTTCCTATACACCATACAATTTTGAAAATATTTTGACTCTTTTTGAGCTGTTTATGGACATTTACAGCTTTCAATTTTTTTTAGTTTTTTTTTCTATAAATATCAATAAAGTTTTATCTGTTGGGCCAAAAAGTGTAAAAATTTAATACAAGGCTCCTGATATATTGTTACAATATCAGTTGAAAAATATTAAAAATACATTAGCACGATTTTTTTTTATAAGCATTTAAAGTTGGAATTTTGACAAAATTTATCAAAATCTCGAAAATTATCAATCATTGAAATTAAAAAATTATAAAATGTTCAGTTTTTATAACTAAGAGTTGAAAATTTAAAACAAAGATTCTCTTAAATAATTCATAGTGTAACCAAAAAATCTAAGCAATATGAACACAGTTATTTTTTACAGACATTTTAAATTCAAATTTGGACGAAATTACATATTAAAATCAATATTAACGATCTTGGTTTTTTGTTGTAATTTAAAAATATTATTCGGGGATATATGAAACTGAAAAATCAACACATTATGGCCTATCCATACAATCTACCATAGTATAAGGAATAAGAAGTATGCTCAATGATAAGACTGTGCATATTTTAAGGGGCAATGAATAATTTATTCATAAATTCCATATAATTTAATACCATAAATAAGTATATAATATGTCCTATACCTAGACTGACATACGACATACCGCCTCCGCTCAGAATCGTTTTTCTTATACAATGATATTATATTATTGAATTCAAATTTAATACCATCCATCATACAGTGACAAACTTGTAACCTACAGTACAGCAGAGCGACATCCACTTACCCACCTTTTTATTTATATTTTTATATTTTTATATTTTTATATTTTTGTGTCTGTCATCACGTTTTAGGACAGTAAAAGTGCTTCGATTTTCTTCAATAGTACCTTTTCTGATAGGAAAGTGAATCTAGTTGGTACTTTGGGGGGTCAAAAGTAAACATTTCCCAGTAGTTTTCACAAGCGCCGGGAAAAACAACATAAAAATTAAGGAAAAACGGGAATTTTTACGCAAAATTGGTTTTCCAAAAAATCGATTTTGGTTATTGGTGTAACTCTAAAACAAATGAACGTATATACATGAAATTTTCACTGGTTGTTTATATTTGCATTTTCTATACACGATAACATTTTCAAAATATTTTGATTTATTTTGAACTGTTTAGGGACATTTTCATTTTCCATTTTTTTTTAGTTTTTTTTCTAAAATTATCAATAAAATTTTATTTATTGGTTGCGAAAGCTTGAAAATTTAATAGAAGGCTCCTAATATGTTGTTTCAAAGGCAGATGAAAAATATTAAAAATCCTTAGTCACAATTTTTTTTTATAAGCATTTAAAGTTCAAAAATTGACAAAATATGGAAAAATCACGAAAATTAGCAAATTATTTTGAGTTAAGAATTCGTAAAAATTTTTCTTTTTAAATCTAAGATTTGAAAATGAAACACAAGATTCCTTATAAGATTATCTACCTTTATCAATAAAAAAATCTCTACCGGACAGTCAAATTAAATTTTTATGAGCGTTTGAAATTCAAATTTTTACAATATTGGATTTTCACTCGATTTCTCATGTATCGATTTCCTTATTTTGTTGTAATTCAAAAACGAATAACTGTAGATACATGAAAATTTCACTGAATGTTTATATTAGCATTTCCTATACACCATACAATTTTGAAAATATTTTGACTCTTTTTGAGCTGTTTATGGACATTTACAGCTTTCAATTTTTTTTAGTTTTTTTTTCTATAAATATCAATAAAGTTTTATCTGTTGGGCCAAAAAGTGTAAAAATTTAATACAAGGCTCCTGATATATTGTTACAATATCAGTTGAAAAATATTAAAAATACATAGGCACGATTTTTTTTTATAAGCATTTAAAGTTGGAATTTTGACAAAATTTATCAAAATCTCGAAAATTATCAATCGTTGGAATTAAAAAATTATAAAATGTTCAGTTTTTATAACTAAGAGTTGAAAATTTAAAACAAAGATTCTCTTAAATAATTCATACTGTAACCAAAAAATCTAAAAAATATATAAACACACTTATTTTTTACAGACATTTTAATTTCAAATTTAGACAAAATTTCATATTTAAACCAAGAATTACGATTTTAGTTATTTTGTTGAGATTGTATAATATTATTCGTGGGTACTTGAAATTTCTAAAGTAATCTACTATATATATCTATGATAGTGTTAGGGTTTGTTGTTGGTGTATAACGCGTTATAAGTACCTAATGGATATTGTGATATGATTAATTTGGAATTCATTATACGAGTAGGTCAATTTTTTTTAATACCATAGATATGTATATAATATGTCTTATACCTAAAAGGACATACCGTCTCCGCTCAGAATCGTTTTTCTTATACAATGATATTATATCATTGAATTCAAATTTAATACCATCCATTATACAATGACCCACTTGTAACCTACTGTACAGCAGAACGACACCCACTTGCCCACCTTTTTTTTTATTATTATTATTATATAGGTAGCTATTAAGAACCCATCATTGCTTATATATGCATACTAATAATACTGATTTAATATGTATATATACAAATGTACAATAACAAATCATCGATGTATATATAATAAATTGTTTGTTTGTTACCTTGACTACGAATTAAAACGATTCACTATAATTCTGTATTGAAATTTCTAGAACAAATAATTTTATACGACGTCACTTATGGCAACCATTTATAAACAAAAATTTCCATCTGAAATCTCAAAATTCCCTTTTTATCATCTCCCGGGGTTGATCCTCTCCCTTTTAAAATTAGCCTATCTTTTAAGTTCAGCTAAATTACACACATTGTAAAAATTTCATCAAGATCGGTCCAGTAGTTTCGGAGTTTATTCCGGATAAAGACGTGACACGAGATTTGTATATATAGTCTGGATTTTTTTATATCGTTAGGTACTTTAGCTGATCCTGTGCACTTCGT